GTGTGAACCCTAGAGACAACCTTATTAACGTTGGAAACTTCGGGGAGGCAGAACCAGGGAAGAGGCTAATCGGACAGCCAAGAGAAGGCCAGGCTGCTGGGATAGCGATGTGTGGCTTTTTTTTTTCAAGGCTATGGAATGGCTTAGATGATTCTGATGTATTTCTATGAAGCATCTGCCAACATTACAGCTACTGACTGTGGAGGTGGCTCGTTGCGTAAAGTGAGGCTGTGCAGGCATGGGGACCAGAGTCTGGACTTCCAGGACCCATGTAAAAGCCAGGTGGTATGGGCAGCCTACCTATGATCTCAGCATTCAAGGGGCAGGCACAGGGAGTCTCTGGGGCAAGCTGACTGGGTAGATACATGACGAGCAAAAGAGCCTGTTTCAGTATCTATAAGGTGGGGAGGGAATGGAGGCGGATACTTGACATCAACCTAGAGCCTCCATAAGCATGCACATACATGTATACATGCACCCCCATGTATGAATTATACATCTGTACATGCCCCCACACCATGTACATGTCATATGCACATTTCTGAAAGAATTATGGGATAAAGTAAAACACAATCAAGCTGACAAACCATGTAGAAGACTGAAAAAAATCCAAACCACTCAGAACCAGGTAGTTACTACTAGAAAACAGCGGGAACCCGGTAGCCACCGCGGTCCAGTGGATCCTCACCATGTCCGTCTCCATTTGTGAATCCTAATCGTAGTCACTTTGTAATCAGCGGCCACTAGTTGCTGTGTTTGAGGCTACTCATGGATGTGAGCGAAGAGGAGCCAAGACTGGTGACCCAATGCGTGTGATCCCAGCTGGAGTGGAACAAACTCTACACCTTTTGTCCTCAGCCCTCACGCGTTGTGCCAGGTTTACCTAATGTCATGTTCTTTGTATTCTTGTTCTTTCTATTGATTATTTAACTGTTTTCAAATGCCCCCTAATGACAGCACCAGCATGTTCTCTAGTGCCCAAAAGCTCAAGAAAGCTGTGACAGACCTTCACAGGGAGAGCATGGGCTGGATAGTCGTTCATCTGGTGTGAGTTCCAGTGGTACTGGCTATGAGGTCCATGTTACTGAATCAACAAGATGCTTCCAGTGTCTGGAAACAGAAGAACCCAAGAGAAGAGGTTTAGTGTTGTCCATTAACAAAAGTACTTGTGCCAGAGGTTCATGGAAACCTGATCTTACATCTCTCAGAGCAACAACTCAGCTCTTGCTGTCCAGGGTTTGTGCTATCTTTGGAACTAGTGAAGATGATGATAATAAAGTGTGCACATTACATGTTTTTATATGCTGTTGTCCTATGGGTGAGAGTTGAATTCACTGCCAGAGAGGAACAGGATGCTGTAGTTTTTGTACTAGACTACTAGCTCTTAGGAAAATATAGATGATCCCATGGCAGTCCTGGTAGACCATTAAGAGGTATTGAGTCTTGTAGGTGGAGACCTAGGTGGATCAGAGCTAAGACAGCAAGCTGGAAACTAGAGGGGTAGATGCTGACTTTGTGTGACTGTGGTATTTAGAGTTCTCTGATAGAAGGGGCAGGCTTAATGTGATGGTTCGAATGATAGCGGTCCCTCAGAGTCATGGGTGTTTGGTCTTGGTCCCCAGTTGGTAGCACTATTTGGGGGGAGGGGTTCAGATGCGTGGTCTTGCTAAAGGAGGTGTGTCATTGACAACAGGCTTCAAGCATTTGAAGACTCTGACATTTCTAGTTGTCTCTCTTTGCTTTGTGATTGTGGTTCAAGAGGTGAGTTTTCAACTTCCTTACCACCAGGGACCCTAACCCTCTAAAACCATAAGCCCCAACAAACCCTTCCTTTTATAAATTGTCTTGATTGTGGTGTCTTATCATAGCAACAGAAAAAGTTACTAAGACACTTAGTCAAAACAAAACACAGCTGGGTGATGGTGGCGCACACCTTTAATCCCAGCACTTGGGAGGCAGAATCAGGCAGATCTCTGTGAATTCGAGACCAGCCTGGTCTACAAGAACTAGTTCCGGGACAGGCTCCGAAGCTACAGAGAAACCCTGTCTGAAAAAAATCAAAAGCAACAACAACAACAACAACGACAACAAAAAGCCATATACAACCCCTCCCATCACACACACCAAAGTCAAATGAAACAAGCAAAATACAGAACATAGGCATGCAGAGGTAGCTTGCATTGGGTCAGACCACAGGGAGGACATGAGGAGGGGACAAAATGCATTTGGCATACACCAAGAGAGGAGTGGGAGAAAAGGAGCTGCTGAGCTTGGAAACGATAGTGTGAAGGGTAACAGGGGTGTCTCTAAGTCTGTGGATGGAGACGCAGATGGCTCACAGCTAAGACTGCAGGCTGGAAGCTGGAAGGGGACATGCTGAGTTTGTGTGAGGGACATTCAGAGTTCTCTGACAGCCAGGACGAGAAGCTAGTGGTCCATGGGTCCATCCACTGGGGACACAAGTTTACTATGCTTTCTTAAAACAGTGGATTTAAATGTTTTGTGTGGGACTTGCACCCGGTTCCGAAGCCTGCAGTCTCCTGTGGGCTTTAATCGCAGCACAGTTTGTGTGGCTTGCCTCCCTCTACAGTAGGGGGATGGGTGCAGCAGATGCAGGTAAGGCTGAAGTCATGGTTTCAGACAAGTGATGATTTCTAGCGTGTCCCACACAGACCTCAGGTCACATTTATGTTTATATTCCAGCATCTGGTGTTTACTAATACGGCTCTGTGTTTCATCTGGCAGATTCACCCTGGAGTCTTGGACACTGCATGCTGAACAAGTGGACGCCATATCTGAGAAGTACTCAGTCTTGTCTCCGAGGAGTGCATGGGATAGAAGAAAAGCCAACGTGGTTTTAGTGTGCCTTGCCCTTTGCTTTCCTGAGACACCATTTCAGAGAACGCGATTGAGAGTAGAGGGAGTAAAGGCGGGCAGTAACTGTGCTGTTTGGAGAGTATGCCGGCTAGATGGGATGCCAGCCCTCGGCTCTAACAGCAGAGTCAGTGATCTTCTCGCCAGAAAGGTCTGGAATCTATGAAGAGAGGTCAGATCGCTTCTGACCTTTAGCATCCAGTGCAGGAGAAACTGCTTTTAAGCAGAGTTAAGAAGCTTTCGTGTGTAGAGTGAGGACAGCCTTTCTGAACCAGGGAGGCCGCGGACAGGCCTGTTGTTTGAGGGACATTGTTTTATGTCTCAGCAGCCATTGTTTGTGTCTCTCAGACTCTGGAGCTGTCCTGACACTGCTCGCCTGTGTTGTTGCAAGAATTGCCCTTCTGGTGGCTTTGAACACTCTGTGATGAACACCTAAGGAGCAAAACAGTAGCTGCTATGAGAGAAGAGGCCGTCGCTAACTCACTGTGAACACTGCCTCAGTTTCCCCAGTGGAACATGACTGTAAGATCTCTGAGGTCATGTCAAGAAATTGCACTTTTCAAAGCCGTGTCAGTGACCTTGGGTATCAGCCACCTTTTTCAGTGTCCTCTCTGGCCCCTGGAAAATTCTAATGTGTTCAATGGAGAACACTGGGTTTGGGGCTCTTGTGTTGGAGGTGAGGCAAGTTAGCTTCTTGAAAGGGTCCAGAATTGGCAGCGCAGTCAGCCCTCTGAAGCCCAGTGTGCAGCTTCCCACCCTTTCTCCTCGGTGTGTGTCTCCCCGACTCTCTCCCACCATTCTCAAAGTCCTCAATGACAAAATGAAAGAAAGGGGACCATAACAAAATAAATTCTAGGTTTGCAGTATGCATTGGAATTTAGCGTTCTCATGCGTCGTCGTGGGTGAAAGACTAGAGAAGACATGAGCTTTGCTGTTGAAGGGATTACTTTTACCCTTTATTAATTCTAAAACTCGAGTGCAAATACATATAAGAACCTGAGACAGTTACCATGGTAGTGATAGACCCACCACACTGCCTTCTGGCTCCCAGAAAGGACCGGGCAACATTCTGGCCCCGCCTATCCAAATTGGGGTCACTGTTTCCCTCATCCTGGGCCCTCCAAGGCCTTGACTCATCCCAGCCAGCTGAATGTGAACTCGGCCCATTGAACCTAATGCCCAATTCAACTGGATAACGAACCACGACAGTGATGGAATTCCTGAAGCATGCCGTCTCTTTTAAGGACAGCTGCTTTCAGCATTTCCCCAAGCTCTCAGATGCCTTTCGATGCTCTTAGTGATTCCATGTCCTCATCAGGGTGAACTACATGAAGCCTTAGGGGTTACTCAGAGCGTAAAGACTCCGCTTAACTCCCTTTCAAATACAGCCACAGAGTAGGGACAAGGTGCCACGTGTCCTTTCCACTGCAAGCTCGGCACATCTGGATCCCAAGTGAGGGGCACGGGACCACAGGTAGCTTGGCTACTTCCAAGTAATACCCTGGGTTGCGTTCTTGTTCTCAATAGGGCTCTTGTCTCCCGAGAGTGCTTGCAGTGGAGCCCCACTTCTCCCACCTTTTACATCTTTCGGGGTCCTCTATTCACACTGCACACTGATCCCCAGCTGCTATGAGTTGAATGACTGAGCTGGCTCCGAGGGCTTTCAGAGCATAACCATCCTAAAGAAATTCTACTTCTGCTACTCTCTGCATGGCGAGCGCGTTCCATTTGAAACCTCTTCTGATGTGTAAATTCGCTTACTTGTATAGACAGAGCACTACGCTTATAGAGCGGGTTGGGAAGAAACAGATCATTAGTATAGGCACTCTATACATGGCGGCTCAGATATTTTCTTGAATTAATGCAAAACACAAGCAGAAGGAGCCATTCCGTGTGAGTGTGATTTCCCAGCCTTCAGTGCGCTCTCATCGGGCTTTGCACAAAGGTCTAGACTAGCTATCTGATAGCTGAACTGTTCTGTGTGACTGCCCACTGTGTGGGGTTCTAGATTGTTGGTCCCGAAACAAAATTAAAAGGCACTATAGTCAGCAGTGGGATGCATTACCAATTCTTTTATTTATGATGCCTATTTGGACATGAGCCAGCCAGCCTTCGGCCCCCAGGGAGGACTCTGTGACCTGCTCTTGCCATCACTCAGTGATGCGGCGGAGTGACTGGACGGCAGGGGAGGTCGCACCCCAATCGATGGGCTTCCGGTATTCCTTCTTGTCCAGAAGATACTGTCTGCCACGGTAGTTGGGGAGCTCATAGAAAATCCAGGTGCCTTCTAGAACCTTACAGGAGTGGACCTCTCGCATCCGAAACTGCTCCATGGTGGAAGGGCAATCTTCTGTGGTTTCATGCATCTGGCCATTAAAATCGCCCTTTTCAAAGAGCTGAATCTTATACTGACCTCCACTCGCCTGAAAAACAGCGACAAAAAGAAATAAACAGCCATTATTATAGAAATCGTTAGCACTTTGGGAACTCAGAGAACAGCATGGTTCACAGCCTATCACCCTGAAAGCAGGGTCATCAGAACTGTTTCTACTTTAAAAGGCTGATTTTATTAAGAAGTTTAAGTTTTATAAACATATATGAGATAGAGAGTCATAGAACAATTAGTATTTAGTCTGCACCTGATCTGATTCAGCCAAAAAGGTTGGGAAGGGAGGTCATTTAGTCTAGTGATGAAGTAAACTAAGATTTTCATCCAGTCAACAAAGCCTAACTACCCGAGAATAAGTAAAAAAAAAAAAAAAAAAAACTTAGGAAAAGATGTGTGCTGGAGAGATGGCTCAGCAGTTAAAGAGTGTTTGCTGCTTTTCCAAAGGACCTGAGTTCAGTTCCCCAAATCTACACCAGGCCACCTGCAACTCTGACTCCAGGGGCCCTAACACCCTCTTCTGGTCTCTGAAGGCACCTTCAGGCAAGTGTGTGTGTGTGTGTGTGTGTGTGTGTGTGTGTGTGTGTGTGAGAGAGAGAGAGAGAGAGAGAGAGAGAGAGAGAGAGAGAGAGAGAGAGTTAAAACCTTAAAAAAGAGAGAAAAGATGTGGGGTTGTAGCCACACAGCAAGGTCCCTGACTCACCAAGTGAATAGCTCTGCAAGAGCCCAGGCGATCGTTGAGGCCCATCCAACACTGGTACTCAGGATACTCGCCCTGAGGTAGGATGTACACGTGCCCAGCGAAGTTGGGCCTCTCATACACAGCCCACGTGCCTCCTTCCACTCGGATGGAGTTGCAGCGACTTAGGTAGGAGTAGAAGTCAGCACAGTCACACTCGCAGTCATAGCGGCGGCCTTGAAAATGTTTGTCTTCGTAGAAAGTGATCTGAAGCACAGAGCAAGCAGAGAGCTGAGGAACTGGGCGACGTTGCGCACGCACAGGTGAAAGAAAGCTCGCGCTCACATAGGGACGGCAGTCCCTTCTACTGTGAATAAAATCACACACTTCCACTTTACCTCACATTTGGCTTCTGGCAATTTCGTCAACAAATGAGATCAGGTCTTTCTTAATATGGAGCGCAATGAAAGGATGTTCTAATAGAAGCCAGTAGTCGCCGACTGAGCTGCGGGTTTAAATTCCTTCAGCCCTCTAGTCAGACTGCCATGTGCTGATGCTGATGCAACGGAGACCTTAGAGTTTTGATGTTTGAAATAGGGGACACCAGACCCTCTGGGGGTTCATCAATCGTTTCTAAATATCACCGTGAAACCCCCAAAATAGACACTTCCTAGCCCTTGTTGCACAGTAATTCCACGCTCAGAAAAACTGCTGGGTTGTAAGGAAACGAGAGTTGCGGTTGAGGTGGTTCCTTTCTTGGCATTGTGCCGCCACCTTGTGGTTGATTTGATTTATTGACAACAGAAAAGCACTGTCAATAAGTCTTGCGTTTTTGAGTAAAGGGCGAGTAGTTTTCTGAAAGCAAAGGAAAGGGAACAAGACCCGTTCAAAAAAAGAAAATATGCGAAGAGAACAGCCCGTCATGGGAACTAGTGCATAGTGAGTGTAGTAGACCGAACTGGCACCCGGAAAGACCAAGATCTAGGAGACGCGGGTAGCTCCAACAGCAAAGCACTCTGGGGTCAGACCTTGGCGACTCCTTAGGTGGAGAGAATGGACGTTCGCAAAGGGCACAGGATCCTTTCTCTTTCATCCTGTGACTCTTCCCGAGGTGACACGCCCCGAGCTGTTCTATTCTGCCTTGATCTTTCCTGTCCCCCTCCTGTCCCAAGTCTCTCGCCTCTATTTCCTGTTCCCTATTTTTTTCCTTTCCCATTTAAAAACAAAACAAAACATGTGTTTCATTTCCTCCCCTTCAAATTTGTTTTTCGGCTCCCTCTCTCATTTGAGCATAGCAGATTTATAGATATATGGTACCTGTGTACAGATGAGAGGAAAAATTCCAGCACAGCTTACTAGCTACGTGACTTCCTTCAGGGGTCAGGGTAAAAATGTGTCCTACAGAAGGGTGCTCTGAGGGTAAAATGGAAATAATGGTAGTCAAGTAGAAAGTTTAATATTTGACTCAAAATTGCCAATGGGGGGAAAGGGCTCATGGGAACCCACCCCTGCCTGAGAAGCTTTAGGCAATCAAAGGTTGCTGGGAGAGCGAGTCACATTCCCCGATGGTACAGACACTCCAAGTCAGTCGTTCTCAATCTTCCTAATGCTATGACTTTGATCCAGTTCATGCTGGGGTGACCCCCAACCATAAAATTATTTTTGCTGCTACTTCATAACTGTAATTTTGCTACTGTTATGAATTGTAATCTAAATATCCAATCCACAATGGGGTTGCGGACCCACAGGTTGAGAACCACTTCTCTAAGCTGTCCTGCTCAAATAGCCCACACCCATGCTCAAGCAAGCAACCCTAACTAAATGCAATGGGACTGCATGCGCGCTCACACCCCCCCCCCACCACAACACCGCACACAGAACTAGCGAGGGGGTTACAGAGGTTTGAAGGGAGTGGAAGGGAAATGGGGGGAGGATGGGGGTGAATATGAGCAAAGGACCTTATACACATGTGCAAAACTATAAAGCACATTTTAAAAACTGTTTAAAATGCAACTGCTCAGTTTGTATGTTACGTGTGTGTGTATGTGTGCTTAGGGCTGGCCATTTGTTAACCAGTGTGCTCTTCCCCCACTCTTAGGCATTTCTTAGTCTCCTGTAGTTCTTTGTATTAGGTTGAAGTTTCATGAGCTTTCACCCTTGCACCTTTTTTTTCTTTGCTTTTCTTCTTTTGGTTTTCCAAGAAAGGTTTCTCTGTAGCTTTGGTGTCTGTCCTGGAACTAGCTCTTGTAGACCAGGCTGGCCTCAGACTCACAGAGATCCGCCTGCCTCTGCCTCCCGAGTGCTGGGATTAAAGGCGTGCGCCACCACCGCCCTGCTCGCCCTTGAACCTTAACAAGCCCACTATTGTCATCCTTGTGCAGGTTAGGCAACCAAAGATAAATGTTTAGAAAGACAGTAAGTTGTTTTTGTTGTTATGGACAAAGAGATGACTTCCAAAGATCATTAGCTATTCAAGGCTAGCTATCAGCTGCAGTGCAAACCTCCCGCTGCTCCTTATGTGGGTCATTTTCTTTTCCTTCCATCTTCCTATCCCACGTAAGTTAACACATCAACACTTACACTCCAACCACTCGGCAGCACTGACCCTGCACCCGGAGTCTTTTATTGTGACCTATGATGAGATCTTCAGGAATATCAAGTAACTTCTCTAAGAATGGACGGGTTCTACATGCCTTCCTTCATATGCTGAATTTACTTTTGAGCTGCGACTTACCGAAATGATTCTGTGGGAGCTATGCTATGACAAAGAAGGTTGAGGATTTTAATTCACTGGCTCTCACAATGACAGTCCTGCACATTTGCCTTATAGCAGTATCTGAGAAGTACATATATGCGCAGAGTCAGCATGTTGTCGGCCCCCCCCCCCAAGCCAACCGGTCATCCCACATTGACTCCTGTGTGCTTCCATTTTCCATGGAACTCCAGCCCCAGCTCTGTTCAGTGGATGAAGGCGGAAAAATGAAGTCTGTCCACTCTATTGCTGATGGAGAGATGTGGCCTTTGGACATAAACTTGTAGAGAAGAGTCAAACCGTGCTGGTTTTCCTAGAAATTACGTTTGAGTTTATTTTTGAAAATTAGCCTACCAATCTAAGCAGGAAAAAAATCTGGATTTTCTCTGAGGTTAACGAAAACATGTGCAAAATCTGTTGCTCTTGTTGAGTCAATGTGCCTCCAAGGTAACCGGTAACAAGACGGTGAGAAAGGCCGGGAAGTGAGAAAGAACAGGTGTTTATGTACGCGATGGTGATGTACTAGCTTCCCTCAAGGCTCTTCAGAGTTTTCAGTGGGACCTAAGTGGAAGTGGTGTGTTTTATACTAGACAGCCCTTCTCCCCAACATCTGGATGGCTGTTAGTTCTATTTGTCAATGAGGAAAAAGAGCATCTGGCACTAGCTAGCCAATCACAGAACAAGTTAACAGGAACAGACAACATGCATGGTAAGCATGCTTCTTGTTAGTCTCAGTTTAAAGATGACGAGGACAGTAATATCAATCTAGATGGAGTTTCTCCACTATACTTGGGCAGAGCTTTGAAAAGTGTCCATGTCTCAATAACAAAACAAACAAACAAACAAAAACCCAAAAAACCCCCCAAAAAACAAAACAAAAACTGAAGGGGCTGCTCTAGAGGCGGGAGAGGGGAAACACAGAGAGAGTAAGCATAGAAAAATAATCAAATAACTAGATGCATCATATGACATTAACACGTCCTAACATGTCTGGGTCAACTGGAGAAACTGAATATGGTCAGAATGTTGGGTATTAGATTTAGGAAAAATCTTGGGGATATGTTTATTCAAAGTGGAAAAAAAACCAAACCAAAACAAAACAAAAACACCCCAACTTTGTTTTTAGGAGCTGCATGTCTAAATACCCCAGTCAACAACGCAGTGAAGTTATGTACTCATCAAAGGGAATGGTAAAGCAAATACAGCCGGACGTTAGCAATCGGAGTATCAGTGAAAGACAAGTATTCACACATTTTCCTTATTCTTTCAAGATTAGTAAGTCTGAAAGTTTTCAAAGCAATAAGTTGAAGAAGGGAGGTATCAGGCACCACACACTGACTCCACCCTTCAGCCTCACTGATTACTACAAAAGTTAACAGAGAATCCCTTCCTTCCTTCCTTCCTTCCTTCCTTCCTTCCTTCCTTCCCAAAGCCTTGTCTGAGCGGTCACCTCCAGACAAGCAGTTGAGCCAAACGTTGGTGAGGACTCTGCCTGGAAACAAAAATAACTGCTTGATTAAGATTAATTGACTAATACTGTCAGATTAAGTTAGCGGGACTGGCCTGCCCACTGGCCTTTTGGAACAATAGCTGAGGCTAAATTAGACATCACAGAATGTTGAGTACAATTCTAGTACAGTCTTCATCATGGCCTATTCCTGAGATTTAAATCATCCGTTGCCGGAAGGGAGCCCTCATGATGGTTTCGGTATTGTTTACCCATACAGTACTCAGCACAGCACCGTCGCTAAAGGTCAATCTTTAATGTGTTAGGTGATTCCGCTAGACTGGAAAACAAGCCATTCTCCATCTCCTCTTCCCATCCTTGTCCTTCAAGCACTAGTTTCTTCCCGCCTAGGCAGAAGCAAGAGCCTTTCTGCACACTGCTTCCACCGTGTCCTGAGACGAAGAGCCGAGAGCTAAGAAGTCTGCGCGGTGTTTACTCACCTTGGCTCCAGTTTTAGACATTGTAGGCGCAGAGGCTGATTCCGCATCTACTGAAGGAAATGCAGGGGTAGCCCCGAAGCCACGGCACAGGGACATTTATACCAGGCTGCTCTCAAATCAAACATCTGCTTAGTCGTGAGAACTGGATCCAAAATTTGAGTCAGTCGTTTACAGCCTACTGGTGCTTGCTGGAAAAAACAACTGGGATTATGAAATAAAGGCAGGCTTCGTCGTCCGTCTAATGCTCACCCAGCCCTGCTGCATTCTAGACGCTGCTGAATCAAGGCACCGAAACCCAGCCAAAGTTTTAAAAATTCAAAACAAGTTTTTCCCTGTGCAGCTTGTTTTTTCAGCCAGTGACGGACATTGCTAATGTCTTTTTCTTCTTCAACAGAGAGCACACGGGAGAACCCAAAGACCACTCTCTACTTCGGGGCGGAAGTGAGGTTTCAAGGACAGATAAATTTGCACCTAGAAGTTATGAATGCTCTTGCCTTAGATGGGCTGGGAGTCACTACAAAAAAAAAAAAAACCAAAAAAACAAAAAACGGCAATCTAAAATGGACTATATGTAGATACAGCTCTTGAATTTGATTACTGCCCTATATCTAGGTAGGAAAATGTCTGATTTGGGTAAGTGTATGCTAACGTGTTTGGGTAAAATGATGTCGGCAGTCCACTCACAAGCTCTGATGTTAATGACAGTCAATGTGGGAAAACGTTACCATAAGCATTCTAGTCCGAGAGTATACGGGGGTCAGTGTCCTGTCTTGTTTGTTTTTTAAGAATCTTACTTTGTTATGTATCTCTGGCAAGCTTGGAATTCACTGTGTAGTTGAGGCTGGTTTCAAGGTCACGGCGGCGATCCCTGATTCCCAAATTCAGGAATTACTGGCTTGCCATACCTATTCTTGCAAATGTCATTCAAGTTAGATTTTTTTTGCAGACACAAATTAGAAAGAACTGTGGCTCGTAAGAGATTGCCAAGTTATATAGGGACAGAAAGCTGCCATGAGACTCCAGAACTTTTCAAGCTACACGCTCTCTCTGCCATTACACCGGGATCTGCCTCTAACTTTAGGAACGGGATGAATACTTTGTACAAACTCAGAAAAACAACAAGCCAACCTTGAGTTTCCCTGGCTGAGCAGTCTTCTTCAGTAATTTCACCTTTCTGCCTTTCTACTCTGAGTGTCCAACAAATACCTTTACAAATGGGACACCCACGAGAACGGTTCATTTAAAAGGGCAGATGTGGGGCTGGAGAGGCCCGGCAGTCAGGACCACTGCTGCTTTTGTAGAAGCCTGGACTTCAGTTCCCAGCAGGCACAGAGAGGGAACCTGACTCCAGCCCCTGCACTCACGCGTGCATACCCAAAGACACACACATATAGACACATGCATACTAATAACAATACATCTTTAAAGACGTGGCAAATGGGCCTTGACATGCAGATCACGGAGAAGCGAATAACAAAGCACAGAGTGTATCTGCCTCCTTAATTCTGTGCACTTCCAAGTATCAGATAACCCGCAGAACCCACTAGTGCCACCCAATGGCTCGGTGTTGGCTCAGTCTTTGTTTACTCGAATTTCATGTTAAAGTAAAAACTATCAAGGCTTCAAAGACTTAGCACGCATTAAGAGAGCTAATCTTACTGGAGGGCCATAGGAGTTGCTCTCGGGGGTGGTAACTATTAATTAAATACCCATGTCGGTGACTAGAATCATTTCACTCATGTCTTAAAGAACAAGGCTTCCCACGCAAACTCAACTTTGGTACAGTAACAGAAGAACAACAAAAACATTTTATTAAATTAAAAGTAAAACTTATCTTTTTTTTAACAAACAGGAAACATTACTCTTTAGAGTTTGTTTATTGAAATTTGAAGCAAAAAATAAAAATAAAAAATTTTACACAATTTTATATGCATTTTATACTTTAAGGCCTAAAATACCATTTTTATAAAACTATCTCTGCTATATTTATACATCAGCTGACCATACTGTCACTCTTTTTTAAAAAGGAGCAGAAATTTCCTTTTAAATAGTTACAAAGAACCAGACAACTCGTTTTGTTTTTCGAGACACAGGGTCCTCACCATGTCGACCAGGCTGGCCTGGAACTCACAAGATCCGCCTGACTCTGTCTCTGAATCCTAGGGGTCAGGCATGTGCCACCACACCTGGAATACTTTACTGCTAGGACCAAACCCTTTCATCATACAAACTAAAACATGAGGTTAGCCTGTGAGCCTGTATTCAGCCACTTAGACACTAACGTGTACATACATCTGCCTTGCCCAGTGCTCCATTTGGCACAACATGCATGGGTCTTCTAACCTTCTACATGTAAGATGTCTCTATGAAAGTAGGAAGCTAAAATCCAACCTAAGTGCGTACAGAACAGCCAGTACAGTTCCAGGCCAGCCTGGTCTACATGGTGAGGACCCTGTGTCTCGAAAAACAAAACAAGTTGTCTGGTTCTTTGTAACAATTTAAAAGGTGTTAAATAGAGGGAAAAGGCCGAGGTCTCGCAGGCAGCAAAGCTCCCTTTCCAATACAGTCTCCAGTGGGCACCATCCTCCGTTCTTCCTCACTTTTCCAGAGCCCTGCAGATGAGCAAAGAGAATGTAATGTATATAAATTCATTTTCATGTTTCAGGCAATTATGAAAACTTTTATTTATAAACTCATATAAATTAGGAAGACCATGACAATTTATTATGATAAAATAAGCTTTGTATTCCTCTACGGTGTTAGTTCCTTTACAACAGGAAGAAATTGTTATGAACTCTAATCTGGTAGAGTGGAAGTGAACAGAAATTCAATCCCTCTGCCTACAGTTCTACCTGGAGACTAACAGGAAGGCCAATCCCTACCCCGTACAGTCTCTGTTTCTTTGTACAATCTCCACATTTCCAACCCCAACCCAGCATTTATTAACTACAAATTGTGAACTTGTTTCCTTTTTAAAGATTTACTTTTATGTGCATGGATATTTTGTTTGCATGTATGTATGTGCACATACATGCACGCAGTGCCCTTAGAGGCCAGAAGAGGGAGCCACAGACAGTTAAGGGTTGCCCTGAAGGTACTGGGTATTGAACCTGAGCAGCAAGTACTCTTACCCACTGAGCAATCTCTCCAGTCCACAAAATCATGTTTCTTAAAAAGAGTTGTACAGGTAGATATGGTGGCACATACCTACAAGCCCAGCCCTTGGGATGTCAGGGCAGGAGGACTGCCACAAGTTCAAAGCCACCCCTTTCCCACCGAGCCACCTCCCTACCACATTTTTGTATTTTGAAGTGAGCATTTCCACTTCTGCCTGTTTTCCTAGGAACTACTGGTCTATAGCCTATGTCGATTTTCTACTTTTAGTCTTTAAAAGCTTGAAAATAGCAAGTTAACTTCTATGTTCAAAATAGTCCTTCTGCTGGAGTGCAGCTGAGCGGTTAAGAGCACTTGTTGCTCTTGTAGAGGACTCAGGGGCAATTCCCATCACCCACATGGTAGCTCACAACTGTTACTCCAGTCCCAGGAGATTGATGCCCTTTTCTGCTATAAGGGTAGACATATGGCCCACAGACACATATGAAGACAAACCACTCACACACATAAAATAATTTTTTAAAAAAAAATCTAAAAAGAACCCTGGCTTACGAAAGACCTCCAACAACAACTCCACTCTATGCCATGCAGCTGAGGTAGGCGGGACTCAACCAGACACAGCCTGGGCTTCCTACCACAAGAAGATTCCAGCAACGGCTCTGCTGGAACCTGCCCGCTGCCTCTGGAAACTCTCACAATCTGTCTGTGTGAGGAAGCATGGTCCTGCCCAGCACCGTGATGGACTGAGTGGGACACGGAGACCCACATGCAGGCCTGTGACAGTCACCCTGGCCTCCAAGGAGAAACCATAGTATGGTGAGGGAATGTGTGGTGTGGTATGGGAGAGGGAGACAGAATGGTTCATATCCTGTGGACAGAGGCATATATATCTAAAGAGGTGAAAGAGATGAGGAGTGGAGTGGGCTAAGGGAAGTGGCTTCATTGCCATCCAGGGCCATGGTGATCCTGGGCCTGGGTAGTCATAGTCTCTGTTGATGTCCACGGCTCCAGATAACACCAAAAGCTGAGAGGACAGGAGTGTATAGAGTTGTCCCCATCCTTCACTTCCTGCAACACTAGGCAGAACTGGTCTTGCCCCTCACCAGCTGAGGCATGCATGCAGGGAAGAGTGATGGAGGAAGGTCATTGGTTAAGCAATAAAGAAACTGCTTGGCCTCATAGGTTAAAACATAGGTGGGAGGAGTAAACAGAACAGAATGCTGGGAAGAAGAGGAAGTGAGCTCAGAGGCCATGCTCCCCTCTCCCAGGCAGACGCAATGAACTCCGACCCAGGATGGACGTAGGCTAGAATCTTCCCGGTAAGAGCACCTTGGGGTGCTACACACATTATTAGAAATGGGCTAGTCCAGGTGCGAGAGTTAGCAGAGAAGAGGCTAGATATAATGGACCAAGCAGTGTTTAAAAGAATACAGTTTGTGTGTTGTTATTTCGGGTAAAGCTAGCCAGTGGCGGGAGCTGGATGGCGGAATGCAACCCGCAGCTCCCACAACAGAAAAGGATCCTATACATCATCTGGGCAGCACAATAGAGCTGACCCTGTTCTCAGGGGCATGGGAGAGCTGGCTCTAAGGGTGTGAGAATGGGAAAGCAGGTCATGCCCCTCTCATATGCTATGTGGTAGCATGGGTGAGGGAAAGATGCCCTCCTCCCTTTGACCCTCTCTACTTGCAGCAGGTGGAGGACCTGACCCAACCCCCCACCTGGGGCAAGGGTGAGACAGCCCTGAGGGTGAGAGGGCACAGCTGGTATTGCTATGAGATGTGATGGTGTGAGCGAGAGAAAGATGTCCTCCCCCATTGCCCCTACAGCCTCCAGAAGGTGGGGGAGCTGCCCCTTCCCCTTACCAGCTGCAGCACTCAGGAGAGCAGGCCCTGCACCTCACCTGAGCAGCACAATAGAGCCAGCTCCAAACTTGTGAGGGTGGCAGAGCTGTCCCCACT